AAGAACCAATAAGAAAATTACAGGAACTAAAAGTAAAATGAGAACAGATGCAGCAGAAATATTGTTATTAGACGTACTTCTTGTTCTGTTTATATTATCGTTGAGTATATATGAAGTATATATAATGAAAAAAAGAAGTGATCAACCATTTTGCTGGATCTGATGCAAATAATATTTATGTGTAATATCATATTCAAATATGACAAAAAATTTTGTAATATATGATTTGAAATCTAGAAATCGTTGTTTCGTATTTATAAGAGAAAAGAGAATGCAGTAAAGAATGAATCATTTTTACTCATATTGTATGTTTGTTAACACTTCTTATCAATTGAAGTAAATGGACCAATATATACGCTATGTCGATTATTTTTTATCAAACTGAAATTTCCTTTTTTCACTTTGCTTTTTTTTAAAGACTTTCGCACCTTTGTAAGGTGTCCGTAATGCGAAATTCAAGTAAAAACTTTTTTTCCGGTTTTTTGTAAATCATCTGATCGAGCTTGAGCTGCTGATCACGAATATATACTTTTTTAGCCTTAGTGAATACTTCCTTCCAGTCGAAAAATACGAAATACTCAAAGAATATTTTTTCCTTAAAAAAATCACATCTTTTTTCAAAATGAACAAAATTTTCTGCTTTACTCTTATTTTCAGCTTTTGAACATAATTTTTTCAGAATGAGCATGAAAAACTGATTACAGACAAGTCGTTAAATCGACTCTAGACACAAAGCTCTATTGGTGGTGGCGCTTCAAATCAGGCCGGGTGAGCTGCGCATAGGTCGATTTTGTAAGTCTATCTAGTTTTTCTGTGTAAACGATGGAAGCAAATATTTTATCTCATTCGACACATCATACCATGTGCTACAAAGTTACGCATCGCTTTTTTTCTTTTTCCTTCCTTGTGTCGAGATAAATTGTTTTTATTGTATGATACGAAAAAAGGGGGGAGGGTCATCTTCGCATAAAACGTTAATTTTTTATTCAAATCAGGTGAAAATTTGTTGACATAGGTAAAAACTGATGAGGAATCTAATGGGAATATTTTGAAGATCTTTCAAGGATTTTTAAAGGGTCTCTAGAAAATTTTTTCTGGGAAAAACATAGTTTGCTAATGTTAATCAATATTTCATGACTTTTAATGGTCAGATTGGTTAGTTTCCATGCTTGGCTATATAATATGAAAGGGAACAGGCAGGGTAAAAGTATCGAAATAGAAAATAATATGTTCATTAAGGTTCGTTTATGTTTTTTATTTGATATTCTACGATGTGATTGAACTGATTGTTTGCAGAGTTGACTAAAAAACAATTTCAATACGTCAGCATGTCTGACATTGAGAATATGCTTCAATTGAACGCCAAAAACGTCGGGATAATTTTAATGCAGTTTTTTGTTCGACAAAATGTATACGCGAATCCTATATTAGTTTTATCATTTTTTCAAAACTTTGATCTGTGCGTGACCTAATAAACGCTTTTTGATTGCACCAAAGACCTTCGATTGCATTTAGTTCGCAATGGTATTTTGGACAATATATAATCTTAATTTTATATTTAGTTCCTAACATCTCCAGCTTTGTAGCCTAAGAAATCAAATTAATGGCATAGGATTGAATATGTGTGGAAAAAACTGGAATGGCATCCACTTACATTTTGAAAAGCTGGATGTGTTGAAAGTATTTTAATAATTTCACCTAGTTTAATCTTAGCTGGTAATTGTATACCTAAATCTTTACATAGTTGAACTAAACCTTTTGATTTACCTTTGTATTCTCCCTCTTTAAAATAACAATCAATAACTTTTTTTCTGTTATTTTCATCAACATATTCAATCTGTTCAACCGGACAACGAGTGCCAATGGTTTTACCAAAGTCTTGCAATGAATACGATTTGGTAGTATGGGTTCTTGCGTTGTCCACGATAATTTCTATCTGATTGTCCTTGTATTCTTGTTTGAATTCTAGCATTTGAAATAACCTCTCAAACTGCCCCAGGATCGTATCATTATCGAAATACGCGTCTGTTCCAATATTAATACTAGCTGTTGCTGTGCGATCAAGATAATTGACATCACTATTGACACTCAATGATTTATATTTCGCAACAGCTTGTTTCCATTTGTTCTCAGTAAGCTGAAAAAATGGTCCACTAGGATGTTGAACGAGAAAATCTGAAACCATATGACTGCGACCACGACCTCTTGAAAAAACGGTATATTTTATTTGAAAAACCAGCGTTTAGGACTAACTTCACCATTTCGAAAGGTTGATTCATTATGAACTAGCAAAGATAAAGACGAAAAAGAATATAATAAAAATTATATTCAACAAGTTTTGATTGCTGTGCTTACATATAAGTATTCGATGTGGAGTTTGAGTTGGAATCTTCCACATAGGTGTTTCACCATCAGTAATTGTGTAATAAGAATCTTTATGTGCTAAAAAGTAATTAATAAATTCAGTACGATGTTTTACCACATCATCTCGTTCGTGTCCTTCAAAATATGGACGTTGTGAATTTGCTTCGAATTTTGCTCCCCATCTACGAAGATCCAAACGACAACTGCTTTTCGATCTTATCAAATCGTCGCCACTTTGTTTTATAATTCCCGTTATCTCATAATATTTTTCATCAATAAACTGAGCTAGATCCATCGCTTTGAAATCTGCTGATTTTTGTGAGCATGCGTGGATCACGAATGCTTTCGCATCCGCTTCAATATCGGGAAACGTATCATAAAATGAATCAGTTTGTTTACCACCATGTAGATCATTTGAAAACTCTTCATAATCTCCTTTAATAAATATTGTTGCCCATTTATGAGAAGTTTGGGCTGTCATCAAACCAGTACGTTTCAAAAATGCATCGACAGCTTCCCATTTAATTTTGAGGAAACGTAATGACATATAAAGTAAAGTACTTAGATATTTCGTTCCACATTTCGACTTACACATTTCAGCAAGATCGCCAATGTCGGTTAACAATTGTTCTTCGCTAAAATCTAATTCTATGTCATCAGTATCATCCGATATTCGGAATCTGACGAGTCCCTTGAATCCGAAGTATTTGCGTTGAATTGGTCGTTTGCATCCGAAATGTTTACATTTGGTGGACCGCTTACATCCGGGATCTTTGTCTTTGACCAGCGGCCAGCTGATGTCGCATTTGATTGACTTTTCCTTTTACTTGGTTTAGGCATACCAGAATAACTAAGATCAACTGCAAATGAAACTATCTTAAAGAAACGCATACGTTATCAACATTTTCACCTATAAAATGTTTTTTCCAGAAAAAGTATTCTAGAGACCCTTTAAAGATCCTCTAGAGATCTTCAAAATATTCCCATTAGATTCCTCATCAGTTTTTACCTATGTCAACAAATTTTCACCTGATTTGAATAAAAAATTAACGTTTTATGCGAAGAACAATTGTTAACCNATACCAAGCCTTCAGATTTGAAGCAATTCTTAAGAGATTTCATATTGAACTGTTCGTCGGGTGAGAGGCTATCACGTAGCTGCACAACTGTAGTCTCAATAGTAGTTTTCCACGATTTCAAAGATAGGTTTTGATGGCGTTCCTATTATTTTTCTAACACATTTTAGTATTATAGTCTATATGAAATGCTTCACATAAAACTGTAAATATCACTTTTCTATTTCAGATTTCTTACTTATATCAGAAAGCGAATCTTTGCACACTCATCTCAAGCAATAAGTTACGAACCAAGTCACATTTACAACACAAACGTTCCCATTCGTAAGATTTAATTAATTAACATGCAGGCAATTCGAACTTCCAGTAAAAAACGTTTTTTTCGTTTTTTTACATCATTCGATAGAGTGTGAGCTGCTGATAACGAAAATCTACTTTTTGGCCTTAGCAAATACTTTCTTCCGGTCGAAAAATGCGAAAAATTACGAAGGTGTCGTTTTTTTGAAAAAAACGTATCTTTTTCAAAATGTGTAAGATTCTCTATTTTGTACTTTTTTTGAGCTTCTGAAAATAAGTTTTTCAGATTCAGCATGTAAAACTGAGTAGAAAAAATTTGTTAAATTGACTCCAGACCTGAATCTAGTCGTGTCCACTGGGTATAGGTTGATTTTGTAAACCTATATAGTCTTTCCACGTAAACGATGAAGCCAAATATTTTATCTCATTCGACTCGTCATATCATCCCCCACCGCGCTACGGATCTTTTTTTTTCTTTTCTTTCCTATGTCGAGAAAAATCGTTTTTACTGGGACGGTAGGATAAAGAGGGAGATCATTTTTGAATAAAATGCGTATTTTTCATCGAAACTGAGTGAAAATTTGTCCATATAGGTAACAACCAATTGCGAATCGAATGGACATATTTAGAGGGTCTCTGGAAATCATCTCATGGAAAAAACATAGTTTTCTGATATTAATTGATATTTTATGATCTTAAATCGACAGATGAATCACTCTTCATGCTTGACTATTTGATATGAACGAGGATATGCAAAATAAAAGTAGCAACATAAAAATAATACGTTCCTTAAGGTTCGTTTATGTTTTTATTTGATATTCTACGATGCGATTGAACCGTTGTGTTGCAGAGTTGACTGAAGAACGATTTCAATACATCAGCGTATGTTTGACCTTGAAAATATAGTTCGATTGAACGCCAAAAAGGCCGGAACAGTTTTAATGCAATTTTCCGTTCGACAAAATGTATACGAGAATCCGCTATTAGTTTTATCATTTTTGCAATACTTTGATCTGTACGTGAACGAACAAATGCCTTTTGATTGCACCAAAGACCTTCAATTGTGGTTAGTTCACAATGCTATTTAGGGCAGTATATAATCTTAACATCATATTTCATCGCTAGCATCTCAAGTTTGGTATCCTAGACAATGGAGTGAATTATATAGAACGGAAATGTCTTGAAAAATATGGAATAACTTTCACTTACATTTTGAAAAGCTCTATGTTTTGAAAGTATTTCACGAATTTCATCTAATTTAACTTTAGCTGGTAATTGTACACCTAGATCTTTACATACTTCAACTAAACCTTTTGATTTACCTTTGTTAGCGCCCTGTTTAAAATAGCAATCAATAATTTTCGTTGCATTATTTTCATCAACATATTCAATTTGTTCAAGGAGAAATCGAGTACGAATATTTTTATCAAACTCTTTTAATGAATATGCTTTAGTAGTGCGGGTCCTTGCGTTGTCTACGATGATTTCTATTTGATTCTCCTTATAGTCTTGTTTGAATTCCAGCATCAGAAATAGTCTTTCAAACTGTTCTAGAATCGTATCATTATCGAAATAAGCATCTGTTCCAATATTAATACTAGCCGTTGTTTGTCGACTAAGATAATTAACATCACTATCGGCACTTAATGATTTATATTTTGCAGTTGCTTGTTTTCATTCATCTTCACTAAGCTCAAAAAATGGTTCACTGGGATTTTGAACGAGAAAATCAGATACTATATGACTGCGACCACGTCCTTTCGAAAAAAAACGGTGTATTTTCTCTAAAAAAACCAGCGTTTCGGACTAACTTCACCACTTCTAAAAGTTGATTCATCATGAACTAATAAAGATAAATACGGAAAAACTACAATAGAAATTATATCTAGAAAGTTTCGATTGCTGTGCTTACATATAAGTAATCTGGGAGGATTTTGGGTCGGAATATTCCACATAGGTGTTTCACCATCAGTAATTGTGTAATAAAAATCTTTATGTGCTAGAAAATAATTAATAAATTCATTACGATGTTTTACCACATCATCTCTTTCGTGTCCTTCGAGATATGGACGTTGCGAATTCGTTTCGAATTTAGCTCCCCATCTACGAAGATCCAGACGACAACTTCTTTCGAATCTTATCAAATCGTCGTCATTTCGCTTTTTAATTCCCGTTAATTCATAGTATTTTTCATCAATAAACAGAGCCAAATCCAAAGCCTTGAATTCTCTGGATTTTTTTGAACACGCTTGAATGACAAATGCTTTCGCATCTGCTTCAACATCGGAAAACATATCATAAAATGAATCCGTTTGTTTACCATCACGTAGGTCACTTGAAAACTCTTCATAATCCCCTTTAATAAGCAGTGTTGTCTATTTATGAGAAATTTGTGCTGTCATAACACCAATATTTTTTTTAAATGCGTCAATCTCTTCCCATTTGATGTTTAAGTAACGTAGTGACATATAGAGCAATGTGCTAAGATATTTTGTGTCACATTTCGATTTGCACATCTCAGCAAGATCACCAATATCGGTCAATAAAAGTTTTTCATTGAAAGATAATTCTTGATCATCAATATTCATACGATATTCGTCATTTGACGACTCGCTCGAAGAGGAAACCTATACGCTAGCCCAGCGATGATATGACGCGCTTTGCACTGTACTTTTGCTTCTCCTTGGTCTAGGCGTAACAAGCTAACACACTTTAGTTCCAGAATAAGTTATCTTAAAGAAAGACACATAATATGGATTAATATAAGAAAACTATATTTTTTCCATGAGGGGATTTCCAGAGACCTTCTGAAGGGTCTCCAAAGAACCTCTAAATATGTATATGCGATTCGCAATTGGTTGTTACCTATATGGACAAATTTTCACTCAGTTTCGATGAAAAATACGCATTTTATTCAAAAATGATCTCCCTCTTTATCCTACCGTCCCAGTAAAAAACGATTTTTCTCGACATAGGAAAGAAAAGAAAAAAAAAGATCCGTAGCGCGGTGGGGGATGATATGACGAGTCGAATGAGATAAAATATTTGGCTTCATCGTTTACGTGGAAAGACTAGATAGGTTTACAAAATCAACCTATACCCAGTGGACACGACTAGATTCAGGTCTGGAGTCAATTTAACAACTTTTTTCTACTCAGTTTTACATGCTGAATCTGAAAAACGTATTTTCAGAAGCTCAAAAAAAGTACAAAATAGAGAATCTTACACATTTTGAAAAAGATGCGTTTTTTCAAAAAAACGGTACTTTCGGAGTATTTCGCATTTTTCAACCGGAAGAAAGTATTTGCTAAGGCTAAAAAGTAGAGTTTCGTAATCAGCAACTCACACTCTATCTAATGGAGTAAAAAAAACGAAAACAAAATTTTACTTGAAGTTCGTATTGCCGGCATCTTATTGATCATACTTGGTGCGTCCAATTTATATCATATTTATAGCTATTTTAGCAGGTCCTCGAATTATTACAAATATATCCCTTGATATTTGGTGTACATATATAAATATATATTTGCACAAACAGAAAAATATAACTTCTTTTCATAAACGAACTTCTTTCGTTGAAAATTCTTCATGTATACTAACCCCGTAATATGCGCTCGTTTACTTATTAATAATCGCCGTGTCTGGATACCATGTATGATTATCTTCTGTCTATGTGCTATCATTATTGCTATGCAACAATCAGACAAAGTAGAAACCCCTATTTCTACTCAAATCTTACAAGAATTTCCATATTCATCGTCACATTCAGTGAGTTATGATGAGGTAAAATTGCTACTTGATCAATTATTTGATTCTGAAACTTCACTTATTGATATACAATCCATATGGAATAAACTTATGGAAATTTGGCGACAAATTTTAACAAAATTTGTTCGTGATGCTTGTGAATTATGTCATCAAAATGATTCTTATTGTTATGAATCAATTGATATAGATCGTTATATTTATTATATTAATGGCTCATTTTATCCAATAAATGAAATAAAACGTCCAGTTGGTATGGGTATTTATTATTATTTTGATTTAAAAACATTGCGCTCAGTTAATAATTCCATATTACCAACAGATGTTTCACAATGTGATTATTTTCATATGATACAATTAATGATGAATGTTCAAATTATATTACATCAATCACAAATTAAATATTTTCTTACTAAAGGTACACTTATTGGTGTCCTTCGTCATCATGATGTTATACCATGGGATACAGATATTGATTTATTTATTCCATCATCTGCTACACAAAAAATACTTAGATCATTTCGTCAATTAGATACATCATCAACTAAAGCTTCATTGAAAACAACAGCAGCAACAGCAACAGCAACAGCAGCAACAACAACAACGGAAAGTAGTACAGCAAGAGCAGCTAAAGAGTAAATTCTTCTTCTTGATATTCAATGTATAATTTGTTTTCTTTCCTAGTCGACCATCTTTTCATAATGATTTAATTGTTTATCGTTTTAAAAATATTCATAGAGTAACATCATATAAGATCTTTTCTCTGCGTTCACCTGTTGTTAATCGAACTAATTATCGTTGGCCAAAAATTGATATATTTCCATATGAAGAAAATTCAACACATATATATGCATATCCAAAACACCACCATAATCTTGGTACAATGAATTATATAGCTAAAAGCAATGTTGAGCCTATTTATTTACGTATATTAGGTCCATTACTTGTACCTAGTCCACGTGATCTTCGTTTATCACTAAAAGCAATGATTAAATTAGGTCGTTCAAATGTATTTTATGCTTGTGAAGGAAATACATTTTTACATCGATATAATCGTGGTCCAACAGA